TCAACGTAAATCAACATTGGTCATAAGCCTGCAACTTAATAATAATTCAACACTAGCCATAGGCCTACAACTTGATATTTCAACAACAACAATTAACACAACATTTGCATAAGCCTACAACTTAGTACGTCACAACAATAATAGTAATTTGACAACAACATCAACAAGAAAACAACATTGGCTACAAGTCTAACAATTCAATACCACATGCAATTCATATTTTTCAGAAAAGTATTCAACACGTTGTATCGACTAAAATATAGAACAATTGTTCTGTATAATTATTCGGACAAATCGACTAAATCCTGCTAATTAATTACCGGCTAAAGTTTCCCATTATTTATACTTTATACTAATATTCCTTATTAGTTTTCTAACAACTTAATACTACACTACTATCCAATTCTTCTATATACATGTATTGTGACACCCCAAATTAATTCAAGTGTTAAATAATTAGGAATTTAATTATTAAATTAATTAAAGGCTTAATTAATAATATTTTGGATTAAATGAATGAATTAATTATGAAATTAAAAAGGAAGACTGGGGGGTGTAAGGTTGAATTAGAGGTGTGTGAAGTAAAAAGCTCTACTAAATAATGACTAAATTTATTTCTATTATTTGGAAAATAATAAAACGAAATAAAAAGAAGAATAATAAAAGGAAAAGAAAAAGAAGGTTATTGGGAGAAAGTCATTGTACGTGAAATTGGAGAAGAGAAGAGAAGAGAGGAAAAAGCCAAACGCCGTGAATTCGAAGGATCATCGCGAGGTAAGGGGTGATTTCAATTATTTAATATGCCTTATAGGTTTTGAGATTAATATAATTGATTAAGCATGTTAGGAATCTCGATTTTGGAATTCTAGGTTTGTGGGATTATCCCTAATTGTGTCAGAATATAGGAATTGGAACCATTAATGTGATGAATAAGTAATATGAATGATGGAAACATGATTTATGATGTTGTATTGATGTGCATTGGTTGCATTTTGGTGTCCCAAATGTTATAATTCGTATGGGTATGAATTGGATGGGATTGGAATGAATAATGCTGTCAAAATAGCAGGTTTTGACTCTGCAGGTCGTGGGAACCGGTTCCCAGTGGGGAGGAACCGGGTTCCACTGTGTAAACGTACAAAAACTAGCAAAATTGCACGTAGGAACCGGTTCCTGTATAGGTAGGAACCGGGTTCCAGTATATTTTCTAGAAACGTAACTTTTTGAAAAATATTAAACTTTGAAAATTCATAACTTTCAAACCGTAAGTCCGATTTGAGTGTCGTTTTCGGCAGTATTTCTTAAATTTAAAATTCTATCTTATAAAATAAGAAAAATATTATTTTATGAAAATTATTTTAAAAAGAGTCGAATTCCCGATTTTTGTAAACTTGGTATTTTGAGAATGATGTAGAATTGTTTGTAAATTGTTCTGATTTGGTGAATGAGAACTGATACTTATGTGTTGTGCCTGCTATCCATTATGATTGAGATGTGATCATGTGATATATTGGTTTTTTCATTATTTGGAATTATGTTGTGATCATATTCCGTTGATTTGATGTTGACTTTCCGATTATGCAGTTTGTTATTATGTGCATATTTGGTGTATATGCAATGGTGTATCCATGATAATTGATTGTATCAGGTCCTTGTGGATGAAGTGCATGTTTATGCTGTTTGATGTGTGTATGATAAATAATGATATCATGTTTCTTTTGGTTTTGGTTCAGTTATGATAAATTGATGTATTTCATAGACTGATTTGATGTAGCATGCTGGTGATGTGCATGCATATGCATTGTTTTGGTGAAGTTAATTTCCATTGTGTGGAATTTGACTTGTATTACCGTTAACCGATACCCGGGAGATGATGGGTGGTTAGGCTGGATTCGTGTCCGAGTGTTATGGACGAATTGATGATTGCTTCGGCTGGATTCGTGTCCGAGTGTTATGGACGAATCGATGGTTACTGTATCCGGTTGATGATGGATCAGTGTTGGGTGACTTGGTCACGTGTTGGTACCACATGCATTGTGTCTGCATTTGTGTTTGCATGGAATTGTAACATGTTAGGATGTCTTCCAGTGTTACAATTCTTTGGTTGATTATTGATTTGTGCACAATGACTTGTATGATTGAAACTGTGTGTTGAATCTGGATTTATGCTAAAATGGGTGAAATAATATGCTTGTGATATAATGTTGATTGAGAAACTTATAATGCATGTTAATTATGAGAAATCTCACCCTTACTTTAATGATTTCAGATTAAAGTTAGCAGCTCAGGAGTTGGTGAGGATGGCTCTAGAGCTATGTTACTTTAAGTCTGCGTGTCAGTGTCGTGCTCTGATAGGTTGTAACACTGGGGGAAACATTTGAATGATGAGTTTTATTTTATACTCTATTGTTTAATTTATGTTGGGAATACTTATGAAGTGAAGTTATTCCGGTTTTGAGACATTTCCGCTATGTAGAACATGATATTGATTTGAATATTTATCTTAATAATTCCTTCAGTAAAGCACGATAACTGTAGATTTGAGGTTTTTATATTTATCTTGAATTGTGACATCCCTGTTTTCCATGTTACTCTGATTTAATTAATATATTCGTGGGTTATTTAGAAGGGGTGTTACATGTATCAACTCCATTAAATTAACTCTGCTATAATTGATTCTCTGTTGTTGTTGCTAAAGTATCCAACTAATTAGCTCTGTTAAATATCAACTCTACGATTGTCATACTAACCATCTCTATTATAAACCAATTCTGCTATGTATTAATACTCTATTAGTTACTGCTACTAAAACAACTCTACTAATTTACTACTCTGCTAATTAATTAGTTAATGTGATATTCTTCTGCTAACTTGTCTTCTTCTAATATCTACTTATTATTATTGTTACTAAAGTATGCAATTAATTGGTTTTCCTCAATCTACATGTACTTCCATTATAATCATTCTACATAATTATTATCTTTGGTTGAAACATACTAAAACTTCATGGATCAGGAACCAACATAAGCAGCACACAAGGCATGGTGCCGCTCGGCACACATGCTTGTCCCCCCCGGCACAACAATTACTAACAGCATACCGATCTGCATGCTTGTGTGCCCCTCGGCACATCCATCAGTTTTGTGCCGTCCGGCACAGCCTTTGTGCCCCTCGGCACAGACTGCTTTCCATGCCGCCTCTTCACAGGCTTCAGTCTGATACTGATACTAATCCAGAATTTTCTCAAATTTTCCTTCGATTACCGGTATTTTCATAACAACATGATACATCAGTAACATAGCGACTTAATAACAATTAAATCGATAGATAAATCCCAACATAGACAGTTAATATTAATAATTATGCAGACGAATTCAACATCATTCAGGACTGAATCTATTTAGTTTTGAAGTGGGGGCAGTGTCAGGTTCATAGTGGAATCAGGTTGCAGGAGTTAGATTGTTTTGCTAAGTGTTGGCAGCATATTAGTCGGTAGTTCTTTCAATTGATGGAGCTGATTTTTTCTGCGAGAGGTTGCATCACTTTGGATGTTGTTGTATTTTTTAATGACAACATCAATTATATATTATTGGTCAGTAAGTTATTCTAAGTAGCAACTTGTGCCTAATCATGTTTGTTTGGGGTGTTATCTTCGTTGGTATGTTTACTTTATAGGGATAATAATTGGTTTGGGTCAAATATTTTGAGGAATGATTTTGTTGATGTTACGAATTTAAGTCACCTAAATTGTTTTTGGTCTAAATTTTTTGTCATGTGAAGTTGTTTATACAATTGGTGCTTAGTCTAGATCCTTTAATCTATTTAGGCTTAAATATACTTTTGATCTCTCTATTTTTAAACTTTTAAATTTTTAATTCCTCCATTTTAAAACTCAAATTTCTAGTCCCTAAACTTTACCTGACTCAGGATTTTTTTAGTCCCCTCCAATTTTGTATAGTTAACATTGATGACTATGATTTAAAAATATTTGTTAATGACGTGGAATAGCTAACTAGGATAATTTATTTTATACATAATTAATTAGGACTAGATTAATTATTTTTTATGAATTAATTAATATTAATTGTTTTTTATTTAATTAATTAAAATTATTTAAACAAGGTATTTAAAGGCCCATTAGATTTCAGCTTAAATTCAAATTTCAAAAACCCATTTTCATTCCAACCAACTTATGCAATACCCACTAAATATTCAAACTTTATAGACACTATATAATTTGTAATGCGGGACTATCATTATCACAATTCTTCCATCTTCAACCATTTCAACACAACATTCTTCCATCATAAAAAAAACATGGTACCCACCATCAAGCATCATATTATTTCATAAAAAACATTTTCCCACTCATGTACTACACTCATTAAAATCACATTATTTCTAAAAAAAACAACTAAAATAAGACAAGCAAGCTGGGCTTATTCAATAAGTTGTTCCACTGAGGATAAATGAACACTTATTCAGAAGCTAGTTGAAAAAAGCTTGTGAAAATGTTAAGCTGTTTTTATAAGTATAACCAAATACATAAGAGCTTCTACTATGAACTAAACCAAAGTAAGCTATAAATAAGCATCCAAACTATCCCTCACTGTTATCAAGATATCTTAATTTTTAAAGCTCATTGTCAAGGTATCTAAAGGTTTAGAGGAGGAGTAATAAAATTTCGAATGAATTAAAGTTTAGGGATTAAAAACCCGAATTTTAAAATAAGGGGATTAAGATTTTAAGTCATTTATTTGTAATATTTTTTTCTTCTTAAAAAATTTAAGTTAAACTGCACATGGCAACAGCAAGTCAACAACAACCGGTCCATTCTTAATTATCAACTATAAGTCATAAATTAGTTCACCGCACCACGCACGTGTCTTCTCTTGAAGCATCTCCTCACTAAACCTATTTATTATATAACTCTTTTTCATTGAGGTAAGGTGCTCCTCTATAGTGGTTTGAATTTATTGGAAAGGAAACAATTAAAGAGTATGAGTTACCCTCACAACCACAGGCACTCACCTCCGCCACCAGGACCTCCCATTGGAATAGGGCACCCACTTGTTCCTGGTCCACCACCGCCACAACCGCCTACGTTCCACCCTCCACCACCTCATGATCTTTTTTATCCCCCGCCACCTGTTTTCCACCATCCACCCCCTCCTCCAAACCCGTACGCTCCACCACCACCACCACCAATTGTGCACCACCATCATACACCACCGCCACCGTGGTATGGTCCTCCAGGTCCTCCGCCACCACAGCCTGGTCCTCCCGGTCCTCCGCTGACACGCCCTCCTTATTATTAAAATATATTACCCCACACGTTTACTTCCTAATTACTATTAGTAAGTTGATCCTGCCAATATGTATTAATCATTGCAATATATATATATATATATATATATATATATATATATATATATATATATATATATATATATATATATATATATATATATATATATATATATATATATATATATAATTTAGGAATTTTTATTCTGTTTGTATATTAATTACTTGCTTATGCATGTATAATTTGAACTATCATAAATTTTATATTATTATTATTATTATGTAAATTACAATGTGTTATGGATGATTAGCTATCATATATAACATTTTAGCTAGTTCGATGATCTTTGTAAAATAACTCTACGCGTCTTTCTCGATTATTGTGTTTAATGTTCTTAATTTCACACTGTGTTAGAGAAATAACAAACATTTTATTTGCTACGGCTTTTTCTATTCCGTTGCTAATACATATCTTATCTCTTAACTCACAATAGATTAGGTGACTTTGAGTTTTTATGATTTTGGTAACTTTAGTTATATTTGAGAAAAGAGAAAGTAAACAAATTAAAAAGAAAATAGAGAGAAAGTCATGGGGACTTTTCCTTCCTAAAGTCACTCAAACCTAATTCCTTTTAACTCAGATACTAAATTTAGATTTGACTCATCCGTATAAGTATTCTGAGTTAAGTTAAAGTTATAATTTGTTCTAACTTAAATCAATTTTCAATCAATTGAATTTGATCAAATGATCAACTAGTATTTATCAAAAATGACTTCATCTTTTTCGAAGATTTTGTTGAGAAATTCTTTAACTATAAATTCAAAAACTATTCTTAAGAGTGTTATGTGATTTGATTAAGGTTAATTAAACTAATAAATTAATCACATAATATAAAGATAAAATTTAGAATCGAAAAAACTAGTAGCAAATGATTCATATTGACAATGTTGGGGAGTAGGAAGATTAAGGTCAGGAAATTTCAATGATTTAAGAGATCTTGACGTTACAAATTTATTTAAAACGATAGCTCAATAAAAATGTGAGTCATCTCTCTTATAAATATAAGAGTCACCTACCTCTCTTATAAGTTTAAGATTTTCTCTATTTCTAATCAATGTAGCATTAGCACTTTTACACCGAAAACAAATTATATAGAAGCGAATATAGTTCAAGCACTACTTTGTTTACATGTGAGAATTGTTAAATTGTAATTCTTTTGTGTCGAAACTATGTGTGCTGAATGGTTTGTAGTTGTTGAAGTAGATTGCTCGATGGAAGCGAATGTCAAATCGAAGAGCTTGTGTATCGAAGCAGATTGCACACATATTTGATTTTAGATTTAGATAGATTTGATTTAGATCTAAAATAGATAGATTTTATTTAGTTCCAAAATAAGTATTTTGGGCTTTGACTTAGGGAGCAAGCTAACATAAATCTATAAATAGGGAGCAACCCTAGTTTTGTAATTAATTAATTCATTCACGGAATTTGCAATTGCAAGTGAATAAGAAGTTATTCATCATAGGTTTTGGTGGATTTCCAACATCTGGTATCAAGAGCTCCAGTTAAGCGATCAAGGGAAGAAGAAGAAAATCAATGGCGATGAATTATGCGAATGGGAAATTTCCATCAAATCTTCTAATTCTTAAAGGAGATAACTATGAGAATTGATGTAAACAAATGAAGGTTATATTCTGTTTTCAAGGTCTTTGGGATCTTGTGAAATATGGATTAGAACCACTTGATGAAGACGCTTCAGAAAAAGAAGAAGCGGAATACAAAGAATTGAAGAAGAATAATCATAAAGCTCTCTTTCTAATTCACCAATGTGTCAGCCTAGATAATTTTGAAAAGGTTAGTGATGTAGAATCTGCAAAAGAAGCTTGGGAGATTCTTAAGAAATCATTTAGAGGTGCTGAGATGGTGAAAGAGGTGAAGTTACAATCTCACAAAAGAACATATGAATTGCTTCAGTTGGAAGATTGCAAAAGCATGTCTGGTTTCTTCACTAGGGTTAACAAACTAGTGAATCAAATAGAGACTTTGTTTACCGTGAAATTTGGTAAGCAACCGCCTATCTTCCAAATCTTTGTAGAAATGGTAATTGGCATAATCGATTAGATTGATCCTATGTACATGTGTTCTTATTTAATGTTTTTTGTTCTTATAACAAAGGGTATTTTCAATAATATCTTCATTATTTTAGATAAATGTTATTTCAATTATTATTTCGTAGATAGTAACATAATACTTTAAAGATAAGACTAAAATGTAAAAGGCTTTGGACTGGAATTTAAATGGAATGTATAAAATTTTAAATAAAATCGAATGACTATAAATGTAAAAATGGTGCATCATATGTACATTCTCGCAAACTATTTTCTCTTAACGCTGGTACTTTGAGTGATTTGAGTATTTGTACAAAGGATGCGAACACCCTGAATCTTAACACTAAGACCCCTGTTTATACTAATTTCAATCAAACCGTCTCTAAATAATATGACGCCATGTTCGAAAATCACATGTATCTTCGAATTCTAAGCTTCCACGCGTCTCTTTGGATAAGATTAATATTTTTGAATTTGAAACTCCTTATCTTCAAAGCGCCAAAATGTGACGGTCGAAGCATGCTCATTGATACTTTGAATAAACTTGATATCTCTATGGTCTGTATACGGATCTTTCACCAACACTTAGCAAAATTAGAGCTTCAGTTTTAGCTCTTCACTTATCAAAGTCTTCTCATAGACTCTTTTATTATTTCCTTCGAATCACATCATCCAAAATGTATTAATTCAACTAAAACTCATGTAGTCGAAATTTCCAGTTGAAAAATTGCCCCAAAAAATGTGTTTCACATTTCTTAGAGAAACATACATTTCTTTGTAAGAGTATATTTCGACGAAAAGATAACCCTCATGATGGATAATAACTGTTGTGGCATCAAAATAATCATAACTTTCTTTTTCAAAATATCTAATCAAAACGTGCACATAGCAGTTCCATAATTACTATAGAAGTAGGTTCCCGATGTGGCTTTTCAATAAACAACCTCTCATATCAACTTGTTATGAGCCACCACGTGTCCCACTAACTCCAATTTTTTTTAAAAATAACTGAAAAGTTTTAGCTATAAATATTCTTCTTCTTCTTCAAATACACTTTTCCATCTTCTTAATCTTCTGATTTCCGAATTTTCACTCTCCTTCTCTGTGAAAAAACCTTCAAATGATCAAAAATTTGAACTTGTTAACCATGGCACCATCCAAGAAAGAAAGTAAACGTGACAAAAACGTGAATAATAAAGAAGTGAAAATCATGAATGATGTTGCATTCAAGTCGATTCATCACATCTCCAAACCTATCATCACTGGAAATTAAGAACTGGTTCTAACGCTATTTGTTACTACTGAGCAACAAGCAATTTATGCTTCTCAAGTAATAATCCCATTTACTCTCGTTGATAAAAACCTAGGATATATGGGTCCCATAATATCAGTTGACTGCTTGGAACAAATTAAGAAAATATTTTTAGTTTACTATGATACAAAACCCATTGTTAACAAAGCTAAACCCTTTAAGAAAAAAAAGAATAACCCTGATAAGCAATTTTCAAAATCCTCTGTAGAAAAAATCCCAAAAGAAATTCCCTTAACTACTGTAGTTGAAAACAAACCCTTTCAGTTTGAATATGTGACTGAAAACTTTAGAACCTTTAGATCTTGCCCTGTAGTAGATAAGAAATATCTTGCTTGGCTGGCTAAAGTCGAAAAGGCAAAATCCCAAGTCTGGAAAGACTTAGGCATCTTCGACTTAATTCAAATGTTGAAGATAGGCTTTAGCTATTGCAAACCCATGCTTATGTCTTCATTATATTTCTGGGATAGTCCCTACAATACTTTCCATCTCCCTTGTGGTATGATAACACATACTCTCTTTGACGTGGCTGCTATTATTGGACTTTGCCCCACTGGAGAAACCTTTGATCCTTACCAACAGGATACCAACACCATCAATTTCAATGTTGACAATGCTGCTTTTAAAACATATATGAATCTATATCATGTCGAAGAAGATGAAGTATCTGATGTTGAGCACATAGCTTTTCTCGCTCTTTGGATATCCTGATGCATGTTCTGCTGTAAGTCCTTACAAGTAGCCAGAAGATTCCTCACTTTAGCAAACCATCTCCATTCTGGTCGAAAAGTATGTCTTAGCGAACTAATACTGACTGGATTATACGAAAGTCTTGAGTCTTCCACTTCCAAACTGAAGGAATACAGAGCAGGCACAAACTTGTTGCTAGCTGGTCCATTTGGCTGCTCCAATTATGGATCTACGCAACTTTCAAACCATCCCTCCGAACCTCTAGTATAATGAACGATGAAGAACCTGAAATCAAAAATCAAATTGTCGAAGGAACTAGACTGCTTTGACTGACTCCTGAAGATGATGGAAAAGACTTCAGGAATCATTTCATCAAGTACGTTATGATGTTTTCAAAACGTCATATCTTCACTGCTTTGGTGGCTCCTTTTACTAATATGAAACATGGACCTGAATGGTTCACAAGATCCCTCTTTGACATTTCGCCTGAAGATACAAATGTTATTGATATTTGGAGAGTCTTTCTACTTCCTAGGTTGATTGTCTCAAGAATCATGCCTATAAAAAGCAACATTTGTATGATTGCTTACCAACCAAACTTTGTATCTAGACGAGGTCTTTGCCAATTAATTCTTGAGCCTATATTTGGGAGAATATGTGAACTTTGCACAACAGGAATGACATTTTATCGTTCAGACTGGGAAAAACACACGGCTCGACACATCAATTTCATAGAATTTAACCCAGTTCATTTTTTCTCATATTTCTACTGCTCGAAGGGCTTTGATATTTAGTGGAAGGAATTTTATTCAAAGAATATGTTCGACACCATTTTTCTTAGCTAGCATATGACGAAAGCTTTTGCCTCTATGCTGAATCCAAGCCACAAAGGTAAATACACAC